CGTGGTAGAACCCAACTTTAGTGGGTTAAAATCTAATTTGAAACTTTATTTTCATGGTGGTAGATCACCGGCACTTTTGGCCAGAAAAAATAGATCACTACTTGTTCAAAGTTCGACATGACTGTATTATAAAATAGCTTCAGTATGAACTATTAAAGATGTTTCCTTGCGTGTGATTCTTATCACAACAAACTGTTATGTTAAAATCATATACAAATTTTTATGAAGTCACTCATGGCTTATCATGTTAACTGATAGGATAAAAATGTTGAAATATTAGGAGAAAATGCTGAGTAGGTTGTTGTAGCGATTTTTAAAGTTATTATGCTGTATAATTTTCCTAAAAATTCAAGTATTTGACTCGAGGACTGTCCTTTATATTTGCAAAAAATATACTATAAAAATTCAAGTATCTGAATCGAGGACTGTCCTTTATATCAGCAAAAAAAAAGCCCTTTATACTATGTTTTGGTCACTTGACCTTTTATTCTTTTCCTTTCCCCCCTTTCCCTATTCTGTATTGCCTCAAAAAGTTCAAAATAATTAAAAAAACAAAGAAGAACTTTCGAAGAGCTGAGTGAGCAGTACGTTTCCTGAACCAGCCTCAGCCAGCACTCAAAGGCAGCAGGAAAGATGAAGATATTTAAGGAGCCTGCTCCTTCTCTCCCCTGGGCAGAACAGGTCTCTTGGCTGGAGAAACCCACTGAAAGGCTGGTAAGCTGGATCCACAACCAGCACTGCTACTAGGGACCTGGTTTTTAGGGGCCCTAGGCAGATTGTACCCTGGGGGGGGGGGCTGCCTTCCCACCCCCGGGCCCCCCCTTCACACCCTGCTTTCCACCCCTACACCCTCATGCCCCCCATCTGGAAGTGCCGCCTCTATGGCCACTGGGAGTGCCGCCATTCCGCTCCGCCCACATGCCCTTCCTCAGTGATGGTGGGCAGAGTGAAGGACAGGTGCAGACGGGTGCCGGGGGAAGGTGCGTGGGTGGGTGGGTAGGTAAGGGGGTCAAGCTGGCCCCACCGGAAGTCCTGGGCCCTGGCTGATGCCCTACCCGGCCGTCACGGCACAACTCAGGAGGGACCCTCACGGGTCCTGCATCCCCCCGAGATGGGGTCGGGGAAGCGCGACAAGAGCCGTCCTCGCAGGGTTGGGGGCTCTCACCTCCTCGTACTTCCTGTCTGCCTCCTCAGCAATGTGCTTGGCCTCCTTCAGCTGGATCTCCTGCAGCTCCATCTTCTCCTCATCTTTCAGGGCTCTGTTCTCAATTACCTTCATGCCCCTGCCCAAGACAAGAGTGGAAACCGTTAAACACATCTGCCCTAGCAAGGGACGCTGTCCAAGGCAGCGCGCAACTGAGACGGCCTCTGGTTTCGCAGTGGGGACCCTGGACATGTTCACGCAGGCGGCAGAGCATCCTGGGTACTTCTGCTGGGCTGCGGCAGGGGTATCCTGCTGTCTGCTTGTTTTCATTTATTACTGACTAGGAAAAAGGCCCGTTGTGGAAATAAATACAAGGGCCTCTAGAAAGAGGCTCTGGGTGGGTGCCCCGGCCTTGGACACTCAGTGTCAATTTGCTGTGGCGACCTCAGCAGGGTATAATGACACTGAGTCCACCCTTTTCTCCAGAGGAACTGATCTCTGCTACATAAAGATCAGTTGTAATTTTGAGTGATCTCCAGCCCTCACCTGGAGATTGGCAACGATGGTTCCCCAGAAGGGACCAGTTGGTTTGGAGGGTGGAGTCTATGGCTTTGTACCTGTCCGAGGTCCCATCCCTCCTGAAACCTCACCCTCTCCAGGCTCCATCCCTCATATCTCCAAGAATTTCCCACCTGGAGTTGGCAACCCTATCTTCTTACCAGTCAATCATCAACCAACCTTTATTTCCCCCTCACTCTTCAGCTTTCCACCCCCCACACACCCGCAGCCTCTCCTGTGCTCTGAAGCCCTGACTGCTACATCATATTGGCTGTCATACGGGGGCCACCTCAGCAGCATATAAGGATACAGAGCCCACCATTTTCTCCAGGGGAACTGATCTCTGCCGTCTGGAAAGCAGTTGTAATCCTGAGTGATCTCCAGCCCTCACCTGGAGATTGGACACATTTTACCTCAGAAGAGCAAACTGTTTAGAATGTTAGAGGCAAAAGCCAATCAAGTCGCATATGCGAACGACCTCTGTGTTCCGAGGCAAAGGCCAATGAGGCTGCATATGCAAATAACCTCTGTGTTCTGACTGGCTGTGGGGGGGGGAGAGGAAGAGCAAAATGTTTAGAATGTTGGAGGCAGGACTCAGGCAAAGCAGCCAGTGGATAGGGAGACCCTCTGAATGACAGATCAGAGAGCGAACTGATTTTGGAGCGTGTGGAATGTTCTAGAGAAGTGCCGCCACCATTCGGCTTTTATTTATAAGGGAGATTAGATTTTTTTTTTAGTCACCGTTCGCCCAGAGGGTTTCGCAGCAACTTGCAACACTTAAAACGTCAAGTTCAAAACCAACAAAATCAGATAATGTGTAAAGATATTTAGCTGCTTAACTCTGCGCATCATACCACTATCCAACCAGCCGAAACATCTCGTTAACCTCCAGAGGATCAGCCTAAACAATGTGGCCCTGCAAGCCTTGCAGGAACTAAGCAAGCCCCACAGGGCACAAGGGTCATTGGAGAGTGCATTCCACAGGGCAGGGGCCAGAACTGAGAAAGCCCTTCCCTCTGGTCACAGCTAACTGAACCGAGAGGGAGGCAGCGTACCAAGCGAAACTCCTTCTAAAGGTTAAGGGAAGTGGGGCAACGCTTCAGACCTCTGAGTCCTCAGAGAGGTGTACCATCCCTCCGAGACTAGCAAAAGGGCAGATGCAAAACTAGGCTTTTGGTATAAGAACATAAGAGACGCCAATGTTGGATCAGGCCAAAGGCCCATCCAGTCCAACACTCTGTGTCACACAGTGGCCAGAAATACCAGTGCCATCAGGAGGTCCAGCAGTGGGGCCAGGACATCAGAAGCCATCCCACTGTTGACCCCCCCCCCCAAGCACCAAGAAGACAGAGCATCACTTGCCCCAGAGCCCCTAGCCATACCTTGTGGCTAATAGCCACTGATGGACCTCTGCTCCATATGCCTATCTAATTCCCTTTTGAAGCCGTCCATGCTTGTAGCACCCACCATTTCCTGTGGCAGTGAATTCCATGTGTTAATCACTCTTTGGGTGAAGAAGTACTTCCTTTTATCCGTTCTAACCCGACCGCTCTGCAGTTTCATGGAGTGCCCACGAGTTCTTGTATTGTGAGAAAGGGAGAAAAGTACCTCTTTCTTTACCTGCTCTTTCCCATGCATAATCTTATAAACCTCGATCATGTCACCCCTCAGTCGTCTTTTCTCCAAGCTAAAGAGCCCTAAGCGCTTTAACCTTTCCTCATAGGGAAAGTGTTCCAACCCTTTTATCATTCGAGTTGCCCTTTTCTGCACTTTTTCCAAAGCTATAATATCCTTTTTAAGGTGTGGTGCCCAGAACTGCACACAGTATTCCAAATGAGGTCTCACCATTGATTTATATAGGGGCATTATGATATTGGCTGATCTGTTTTCAATACCCTTCCTAATAATCCCCAGCATAGCATTGGCCTTTTTTATTGCAGTCGCACACTGTCTCGACATTTTCAGTGAGTTATCCACTACAACTCCAAGATCTCTCTCTTGCTCAGTCTCTGCCAGTTATACACTTGTTCAGGATGCAGAATACAGATTTTCTTTTTTTAAGGGCCGGATGTACACTGCCCTTGAGCTCTACAGCCTAACTAGTAAAACCCATTGTTCTGTAAGAGGGCTTGCATGACTGTAGATGAGCAAACTAAATAAACCCCTGCACACAGAAAGCTGGCGTGTCAGGAAAGGTGAACCAAAACCCTTCTTTCCAACACGCTCGTTTTCTGCGTGCGAGGATTCTTTTTAATTGCATGGAAGGGCCAAAAACCCCTGCACACTGAAAGCTAGCATGTCAGGAAAGGTGAACCAAAACCCTTCTTCCCAACGTGCCAGCTTTCCGGATGCGAGGGTTCTTTTTAATAGCACAGAGGAGCCTTCCATTATGTAAGGCACTACCTGGAGGGCGACACGGTGTAACAAGCAATTTATCCTCTCAGTGAATACCAGGTGTAAGCAGCTCCGTCACCTCCACCTCCCCAGCCCTTACCTCTCACTCTCATCTGCAGCTTTCTCAGCTTCCTCCAGCTTCTGCAAGGCCGTCGCAAGGCGCTCCTGAGCCCGGTCTAGCTCCTCCTCGACCAGTTGGATGCGGCGGTTCAGGGACGCCACTTCTGCTTCCCGGGGGGGGGGGGGAGAGAGGAAGGAGAGAATGTGTCATACAGGATGGGACACAGCTTCCCTTTTAAGTTCACTGTTAAAAAATAAAGTTAAAAACAAGGATATCGGAATGCAAGAAAATTTTGGGAAGGACACAGACTGTCACAGAACCATTTTATAAATGCACAGCATCCTTAGATTGTATACCGGGATAGGATTAAACGGGATGACTGCTAAGGAGGCAATTTTGAATTATAGCGGAGATTCATAGTCTGGTATGAAATTATGGAAACCTGAGAAATATAAACTAGAGAGCCAGTTTGGTGTCGTGGTTAAGTGCGCGGACTCTAATCTGGGAGAACCGGGTTGGATTCCCCACTCCTCCACTTGCGCCTGGCTGGATGACCTTGGGCAAGCCGTAGTTCTGATAAGAGCTTGAAAAAGGGCAGTTTCTGTCAAGAGCTCTCGCAGCCCCACCTGCCTCACAGGGTGTCTGTCGTGGGGAAGGGAAAGGAGTTTGTAAGCCGCTCTGAGACACCCTTTGGGTAGTGAAGGGCGGGGTATAAATCCAATCTCCTCCTCCTCCTCCTCTTCTTCTTTTGATTTATAGTAGTGCAAGTATAGCCGGATAGAATTTTGTAACAAAGCTCCTTTCTTATCTCATCAAGTTAAATGCATTGTTGTCTATGGTTTAATTATCTCACTGGCAATATTTCCCTCCCCTCAAATAAAGTTTCTAGACCTCATGTCTCTAAAGCACATCGATTCTCCAGAGGGAGGTTTTTTGGTATTTTTGTGTGTGTATGTGCATGCGTGTGTGCACGTGTGAGTGTGTGCGCACCTGGAAGTCACAGCGACCTTTGGTGACTGTCCCCTACTGGGGGCCTGGAGGTTATTCAGAGAGGTGGCTGAATAAAGCCTGCCCCCACCTCCTGACCGCTGGTATCCCAAAGAGGTCACAGCTTTCATGCCAGTAGCTCACAAAACAGAATTTTTGCTCACAAGACTCCACAGCTTAGAGGGAGCACTGGCTGCCAACTCAGCCCACGCCCCTCACTCAGCCCCCACGATCAGCCTCGCAGGACCCCCAAACCGGGCCAAAAGTGGGCCAAGCCAGGCCCCCCCCCCCCCCCGCTCTTTCTCGCGTTAGTTCACCCACCTCCCCCAGCCAAAAGATGCAGAATTATACAGAAGGGCTGGGCCAGTTTGCAAGCCTGAGAACAGCAAGCTGCTGAGTTCAGCTCGTTCCGGGTGCGGGATACGGACTACCCAAGCAGAGACTTTAAATACAGTGCCCGGCCCCGATGGTGGCAGCCGGAAGACATAGGGGTGAAAACAGCAGGAGAAGTCACAGCCATCAATCAAATGTGACGGAACACCCCAGGAGCTGAAACACCAGCTGCTTTCTAAAACCCTCCGAGGCATTTGGGAGACTGGAATCTGCTTCCTGGTCTGGTCTGACTCCTTCTGTCAGGTGCCTGCAAGCCAGTTTCAGGCACAGGTGGGAAAGAAGTATTTAAATAAGAACCCCCCCCCCTTCTGAATTAGGCCAGGGAGGAAGTTGCCCGTTGCCGCTAGCAGCTGGGATGCACTGCAGAGCTTCAAGGGCACGAGGATGTGACATCCCCCCCCCGCACGGAATCATAGAGTTGGAAGGGGCCACACAGGCCATCTAGTCCAACCCCCTACTCAATGCAGGATCAGCCTCGAGCATCCCTGACAAGTGTTCGTCCAGCCACTGCTTGAAGACTGCCAGCGAGGGGGAGCTCACCACTGAACTACACTTACTGTTAAAACACTGCTGGAGCTACCAGCAACAGCCTGTGCCAGCCGCAGAAAGGAAGCGATCTATGAGCTGACTGTTAAGATAGACCACTGAATTGTTGCCGCTGTCCCTAAATAACATCACTACTATCAGATTGTATGTTTACTAACACATTACAGGGGTGTCAAACATGTGGCCCGGAGGCCGGATGAGGCCCCCGGAGGGCTTCTATCAGGCCCACAGTGGAACCGGCTGTCTTCTGCTTCTTCTAGTTCTGCTGCTGCGTTATCGTAGGTTTGCAGCTTACAGATACACACCTGAACAGCAGACTCAAGATTGCAACAGCACAGACATTTTGATGCAATAATTCAGAACAAGAGGTGTCAGTTATCAGACACTGTTAAATAGACAAAATACTGCAAGAGTGCTGATGTTTCAAGCATGTTTTTATTTTAAGTAAATGTCAGATCCGTTTATGTCAGATCCGGCCCTCGTAACAAATGAGTTCGACACCCCTGCTTTATAATATTGGATTGGTTTTAGAAGGCTTTAGGTAGTAACTGTTATTTATGTGTTTTAGTCTTTTGTAAGCCGCCCTGAGTAGCATTTCATGTATGTGTGTGTGTGCTTGCGAGCCTGGAAGTCATGGCGACTTCTGGCAACCCCTACTGGGGGCCTGGACGTTTTTCAGACAGGTGGGTTGATAGCCCCCCACTGCATCCCCGGCCCTGGTATTCCTTGGAGGTCTCCCTTCCAAGTACCTGCCAGGGTCGGCCCCTGCTTGGCTTCTGAGATCTGATGAGATCGGGCTTGCCTGGGCTATCCAGGTCAGGGCTGCTGTAATAACATTTCTTGCCACATGGATTTAAGAGGCATGGTGTAGTGGTTAAGTGCGCAGACTCTAATCTGGGAGAGCCGGGTTTGATTCCCCACTCCTCCACTTGCACCTGCTGGATGACCTTGGGCAAGCCGTAGTTCTGTCAGAGCTGTCCTTGAAAAAAGAGCAGTTTCTGTCAGAACTCTCTTGGCCCCACCTACCTCACAGGGTGTCTGTTGTGGCGAAGGGAAGGGAAAAGGGGTTTGTAAGCCGCTCTGAGACTCCGAGTGAAGGGCGGGGTACAAATCCAATCTCTTCTTCTCTCTTCTCTTCCAACACGGAAACCTTTCCTGGCATGTAAACGGTTTGCTGTAGGATTTTAGCCTAACACGCAGGCAGGGAAGAGAACCAACCGACGCGGCTGGCAGAGATTCACTTGCAGAAAGACCGCCCGCTGTGCCACTCTTCAAGCCACAGTGACGCCCTGAGAAGAGATGGCATGGCCACTGCCTTCTGGAGCGCTCAAAGATCAAGGAAACACCCTTGACTTCTGGGCCGGCTGCCACCTCTGGATCCTGCTCCTTCCTCGGCAGCAGGGGCTTCCCTGACTTCTTTGAATCACGGCGAGGTCCGAGAAATGCAAATGGGATGGAACTTTTCTCTCGGGGAAGGGACAGAAGAGGAAGGACGGCAACTGAATGGACGGAAGTGAAGGTTGAGAGGAAATTCCACAGCCCTCCAACTCCGGTTCCCAAGGGAACTCCCTCTCTGAGAGTGGACGAGAGGAGGGACGCCAGCGCCACCCGAGGGCAAGCCTGTGGGGAAAAGGGTCTTTGAGGAAGCCGCCCCCGTCCTTTTTTAAGTGAAAACTGTCCCGACTGGCCAAGTCCTGGTGCTGGCCAGCCGCTCCTTCCCTCGCGCAGCTGAAAGAGGGAGTCGGCAAGAAACAAATCGTAAGGCGGAAAGGATTCGAGTGCCAGCCGTGCCCTGAGGCGGCGGCCAACGCGAGCGACTGCCCGAGGAAGGGAGAGTCCACTTCACCCTGGTCGGGTGCCAACAGCTGGAGAGAGCCTGCTACGGCCTCCTTCACACCCAGCCTTGGCTACAGTGGAGGCGGACAACTGAAAGGCAAGGGAGTCGTGAACAGAGAGGTCTCCAGCTGCATCAAGCCTGGCCTTGCAACGGGAGGAACCAGGCAAGCTGCTGTAGGATCCCGGCAAAATTACCCAGCTGCGAGAAGCCTCAGGTTCAGATCTCACTTTTGGACTCAGCAAGCAGTGCTGGCTAAGGCACACTCAATCCCCACTCTTCCCTTTGCCACTGAGAGAAAGTAATACAGTCCTACCTTACAGGGAAGTTGTAACAATTATTAACAACCTAAGAACATAAGAGAAGCCAATGTTGGATAAGGCCGATGGCCCATCCAGTCCAACACTCTGTCACACAGTGGCCAACAATACCAGGTGCCATCAGGTCAGCGAGGTCAGGACACTAGAAGTCCTCCTATTCTTCCCCCACCCCCAAGCACCAAGAAGACAGAGCATCACTTGCCCCAGACCGAGAGTTCCTAGCTATACCTTGTGGCTAATAGCCACTGATGGGCCTCTGCTCCATATGAGAACATAAGAGACGCCAATGTTGGACCAGGCCAATGGCCATCCAGTCCAACACTCTGTCGCACAGTGGCCAAAAATACCAGGTGCCATCAGGAGGTCCACCAGCGGGGCCAGGACACCAGAAGCCCTCCCACTGTTGTCCCTCCCCCCTCCAAGCACCAAGAATACAGAACATCACTTGCCGAGACCGAGAGTTCCTATCTATACCTTGTGGCTCATAGCCACTGATGGGACCTCTGCTATTAATGCATGAAATGCTTTGTACACTCCAATGATGACACAAAAGGGCACAGATTTAAATATTAGTTACCACCAAGTCCAGGGGTCCCCAACATGACGCCCCAGGGGACCATGACAACCACTGACGCTTTTTCTGCCCCCCCCCCAAGTGTTTTTAAGATGCAGGTGGGGCCAGGCAGGGCTTTTGCCAAGCAAGAGTTCTGATTGACAGCACAGATTTCTTTTTTTTAAGTGTTGCTTTGGCGGCAGCTGTCACCACGGCACAAGGATCTACACGACATTACTGAAGTTAAGCTATTAAGCAACCATTTCGCGACAGGCCACGCCTCCTGCGGCAACCATCATTTGGAAGCCATTTGCTTCCTGCGCCCACCATGCCGTGTCAGAACTCCAAATCTGACCGCAGGCTTCGACCTTAACGTAAGCACTCAACCTGGGGATCAGACTTTGCCAGCCCTCCTAGCCTTCCCCAGAACAGACCCAAGAGCTCCTGACGTTCCATCACAGAGGATCAAGGGGTGGGGGGGTGGGATCTGATCAAAGGCTGTAGTCCAGGGCTCTTTTTGTAGAGAAAGCCC